GTCGCATTCCTTGTGTCAAGCCACTCTTGAACCACGGACAGCGTCAGAAGCGTCTTGCCTGGGCTAAAGAGAAACAGGACTGGACTGCTGGTGAGTGGTCCAAAGTCATGTTCTCTGATGAAAGTAAATTTTGCATTTCCTTTGGAAATCAAGGTCCCGGAGTCTGGAGGAAAAGAAGAGAGGCACTTCATCCACGTTGCTTGAAGTCGAGTGTAAAGTTTCCACAGTCAGTGATGGTTTGGGGTGCCATGTCATCTGCTGGTGTTGGTCCATTGTGTTTTCTGAGGTCCAGGGTCAACGCAGCCACATACCAGGAAGTTTTAGAGCACTTCATGCTTCCTGCAGCTGACCAACTTTTTGGAGATGCAGATTTCATTTTCCAACAGGACTTGGCACCTGCACACAGTGCCAAAGCTACCAGTACCTGGTTGAAGGACCATGGTATCCCTGTTCTTAATTGGCCAGCAAACTCTCCTGACCTTAACCCCATAGAAAATCTATGGGGTATTGTGAAGAAGAAGATGCAATACACCAGACCCAACAATTCAGAAGAGCTAAAAGCCACTATTAGAGCAACCTGGGCTATCATAACACCTGAGCAGTGCCACAGACTGATCGACTCCATGCCACGCCGCATTGCTGCAGTAATACAGGCCAAAGGAGGCCCAACTAAATACTGAGTGCTGTACATGCTCATACTTTTCATGTTCATACTTTTCAGTTGGCCAACATTTCTATAAATCCTTTGTTTTTATTGGTCTTCAGTAATATTCTAATTTTCTGATATGATGAATTTGGGATTTTCATTTGTTGTCATTTGTAATCATCAAAATTAAACAAAATAAACATCTGAAATATATGAGTTTGTATGTAATGTATGAATATAATATACAAGTTTCACTTTTTAAATGGAATTACTGAAATCAATCTACTTTTTCATGATATTCTAATTTTATGACCAGCACCTGTATATAAAAGCACAATCTTTTTGTTCACATACTCCATTGGTGTAGTCAAAGGTTAAAGCTTAGAAAATGAGGATCTTTGGACATGAAAATTCACATGAATTCTGGCTGAGATTGGAATATTTTGTGAAGGACAATGGGCACCTCCAATTAAGCATCTTTGTCCTGTTGTCTTTTATCTGAATAAGACACACACTGAGTTACATTATATATTGTTTTAGAAGTACATATTAATACTTATGCAGAATTTTAAGCACACCTCTATGAATTCATAGTTTCATCCAAAATGATGCAGACAAGAACATTTTCCATTTCTAGTTAAAAAAAAGACCATTCATTTTATAAATGACCAGAAAATGTTTTAATTTTGCTCTGTGCCTGCTCTGACAAACTTCCCCAAACCATAATTTATTGGAGTGTTCCTGGTTCCTTATATGAACAAATTTAATAAATTAAAACGAAACACTCCAACTGTCATGCCGCTCATAAATCTTCACTAAAACCTGCAAATGCATCTTGAAAGATGCACAAATGAGATGAATTGGACATGACAAGATTGGCCCCCATCTTTACCATGGATCAGATGGCCGTGACACAAGCATTTTAAATCAGCCTTGTCTTAAACAAAAGTGACAGGATTAGATAAATGAATTAGATGAGACAAAGATTTAAACTCTGGATCGCTCGCAGCTCCGGATTATCTTGGGACTATCGGACTGGAAATCTGGCTGGAGGGCAAAATGAATCTTATCAACTGCTTATCTGTTCTGGGCTTTTCCTGGGAGCCTGCAGCAATTACAATACATCAGGACTGGAAAGCCAAGGAGCCATGGAAGATCTTTGCAGATTTTCAGCTTCTCTCTTATAAACATTCCTCTCATTTTGAACAGCACAGGGGGATAAAGTAAGAAACACTGGGCTTTTTTTGATTTCCACATGATTTTACAATTTATTTGCATTTTGTCCAGTTCTCCATGTACACACAATAGTAACACAAATAGTTTAGGTACCGTAAACGGTAGGCAAAGATGTTTTTAGATCTGTCAAACACACCCAACAGAGTTCTCATAAGCATCTAAGAACAGAAATGTTTCTAGACAGCTTATGATGTGCTGTTAAGAGCTTTTGAATACTTAAAATCATTTTTTTTTCTTGTACCCAACTTTTATTTTCTGTGCTTTTTTTGCTTCCAAAATTTCAGAAGCACTGCCATAAAAGAGACTGATCTAAAATGTTTGGCAACTTATGGAACAGAGTCTTTGCAAGGCCACTTGAAGCACTCTCTGTAAAGATAGAACAAGCATGCCTAAATACAGAGGCAGCTGCCAAAATACAGTTGTTGTGACAGGTAACAACCATATTTGTACAACCAGAAGGATTATAGAGTGGCTGATAAAATACATTCAGGTCAGAAACAGGAACCTTTAAATGTACATCTCAATAAATAAGAATATTACTCAAAAGTACATTTATTTCAGTGATATAGTTACAGAAAACTAGATGGTAGATTATATAGATGTGACACATACAGAGGGGCATTTTTCAGGACTTAATTTCTTTTAATGTAAATAATTATGAATTGTGGCAATTAATACTCTCAGAAATGGCAAAACAAATATAAATGTCAGCTTTTTGCAAAGTATGTCAGTTAATGCTTTGACTTTCATTGTTTGCATGAGTAACTGCATCGGCGCAGCATGATATGGAAAGAATATTGAATTTAAATATAATTTGGAGGCTTTATTCTCATAATCATCTGAAAGCCGTCGTCTTCCCTACTGCTTTCAAACCTTTTCTTTGAGTAAACTTTCCCCTATTATGCTTTGATTGGACACTATGAACAGACAGTTCTCTTAGAAATGAACTTAACCTCCTTGCTGAGAGTTGTAGTGACTTTATGCCAGAAGACTGTCAAGTCAGCAGTGTTCACAAGGCCTGCTTAGTTGATCTTTGCCATGTTTTATTTGTCAAACAGAAATCATTTTGAATATTATTGTACTGTATATTGTACCCTAAAAACTTCATTTTCAGTTTTAATTAGCTACAAGGCATAATTGCCCAGAAAGTTATACTTCAATGTGTGTCTGATTCTATTCAACAGAATCTTTTACATTTTTTTTTTATCACTGAAATAAATGTACTTTTCAATGATATTTGTGCTTGTTGAGATGCACATGTTAATCTTTCATCAGTGGAGGCAAAATGAGGAACAGCTTAATACCTGGTGAGCACCGAAACCAACAATCCAGGTAACACAGATCTTCCACTGGGTTGAAGTAGCCAAAAGGAACTGAGGGTGAAAACGTTTTATAAGTCCCTCAGACTTTTTAAAAATTAGCAGCAAGAGCAAATTAATGAAAAAAATCTTCACAAAACTAAGAAATGAAAGAAAAAAAAAATGATCCGAATAGTTATAATGTCCTCAGAAATATTTGCAATCTTTTTTTTCCGAATCATTTTGTGACAAATATTTACTTTATTCTCTGAGCTGAAAAAAAAACCAATATGAGTCATGAACAATTTTCTTCAAAACAAAACACAGATCATTCCAAACATTATGACCATTGGCCTAAGAGTATCTTGGTCCTCCTGGTGCCAGAGCAGCCCTGACCTGTTGAAATATAAAAACAAATTTCCACCGACTCTACTAGACCCCTGAAAGCTTCAAGGTAAAGGTTCAATGGATTGGACTTATTTTTGCAGCACATTCCACACATGCTAAATTGGATTGAGATCTGGTGATTTAGTAGCAAAAACAACACCTAAAACCTGTGGTTGTCATTTTGTTCTATGTCTGTGTGCATTAAGAGGAAAGATGCCACAACCATCAAGCTATTCTATTTCAAAAAAATGTTGTGCATGGTCCGCAGAAATGCTAACTTAGGTAGAATGTGTTGAAAATACATCTGTAACACTGCAAAAAAATCTCTAAAACTGAATAAAAAAATAAAGAAAATAACAATTAAAACAACTTATATATTGGTGTATATAAGTGTAATGGAGTGAGTATTTCTACTGCTAAAATAAGATGACTAGATGTTATGCAATTCAAATAAGAGACTGAAGTTATTTTATTTTAAATGTAAATTGTAAGTGTTTTAAGAGGAGGTAAGTGAGACACACCTCAATAAAAAATAACTGCACTTATTTTAGAAAAAAAATAACTTAGATTCAAATTTTTTGCACTGTAAAAGCAATTATTCTACAGAAAACTACACTAAGCAACAAAGTGCCTTTGCTACCTCTCCTTTGTTCCATAATACATACAGGTGACGAGTTCTCCAAGAAAGCAAACCACATTAAACTGGCAGTCCACTTGATACAGAGATTCATGAAACCAGACCATCTTCCTTTCAATCGCTCTGTTATCCAGTTCTGATTTTCACATTTTAGCAAAGTTCTAGTAAATGTAGGACATTCGCTTTCCTGTATTTTCACAGTTTAGCTTTCAGATACGTTGGACGCTTTGTTCCTGCTTTGACAACGGATGATTGAATGTTATTTAAGCATAATCAATTTATCTTTACTATAATGAACGGTGTATATGTGACTCCAGTAATAATCTCCACTAGTAGGAGGTTACTCATACTCATGTTACTGCAAAAACTATCTAGAAATAAAACAACAATTCTTAAATTAAGTCTATTTACCTTTAATTTGAGCAGGTAAATAAGATGATTTGCCAATGGAATGAGTATATTTATTCTTAAAATAATATAATTAGATAATATGCACTTGAAATAAGACAATGCAGTTGTTTTTGTTATTTTTAAATGTAAATTGTCTATCTCTATTAGCAAAGTGTCTCACTTACCTCCTCAATTCATGAAAAAGCGCACTTAGTTTAAGTAAAAATGACTTATTTAGATTTCAATTTTTGCTGTTTTTTTTTTTTTGGTGATGGTCAGTCATAATCTGTTGTCTAGAAAAGACAAGTGGTCCAATGGGGGATTAAAATGGCAATAAACAGAAACTCAACCATTCAGCAATTTTACCCTCAGTAGCTCCTCTGCTGTATTAAACTACACTGGCCAGTCTTCTGCTGTGTTATGTGCATCATTGGGATTGTCATAAGTTCACCACCCTTCCTTGCTGTGGACAGCTTTTGATATATAGATGTAATTCTGCAGTTGCTTTGACCCATTTTACTAACTATCACAACTTTGCCCCTGTCAAATGCACTCAAATGTAACATTTGCCATGTTTTCAAGCTTCTAACACATAAACATTGAGGTCATCATACTCACTTACACCCTTATGTATCCTACTTAGATGTGCCATGATAAGGAAATGATCTGTTTACTTTACCTGTCTGTGGTCATAATGTTATGTCTGATCAGTGCTGATACAAGGAGTAACCCAGCCAATATTCTTATGATTCCCCATAATATTAGAGTGGTAAGTGAAGTTTTGTTTTGCATCATATTGAGGTATGAGGTATGATCTCAATCATGCTGGTTTCCAATCTTTACAGTTGCATGTGTTTTGTTTATTTTGTTCTTAAACTGAATGCATCAAAATGGTGTGCGCTTCAATAACAGTGACATTTTGAACTTGTTGTTGAGATGTGTTTTCTGCAGCTGTTAGTCACACGAGGACAGAGAAATAGCCACATCACACTTGTCCTTCAACTCGAGGCAGGCTTGATTTTGGTTTCCATGTATACACAACATATTGCATCATCAACAATACACAATTGGACAGAAAAATAATAAAAAAAATGAAACGAAGTACAGTTAAAACACTAGAAAAGTTGTCAAAATAAAATAAAAATGACTCAGCACTAACGTAGTGCATAAACCATCTTATTTGTTTGGAAATAAGGAATAAGAGTTTATTCAAAGAGCTTGGGCCTTTCAAACAGTTCAGCATCTATTGAGAAAAATTAAAATATGACTACAGAATCTCCAAAACTAAAGAAGAAAAAAAAAACAAAAACAGAATTGTGGTCCCTATAATTCTTGACACTCAAAACATTCCACAAAAGACTCACTTGTGGATTGATTTTGTCTTTAGTGCCTAAAAGTCTTGCTTCATCGTTTGCAAGTGGTGCTTGCACCCTGTGTTCATGTAGCAGGCAGTCATAGAAAAAAAGGAACTAGAGGCCCATGTCTCAGTCTCGTCTCACTTGGCTTATGCTCTGCTTGTATGAGTCTGCCAATATTCTGCGCCTTCAGCAGCAAACCCAATAGTTCTATTATCTCAAACATAACCCTGCTAAAGCAGGTCAGGGCATATCCTGGGCAACGATGTGAACAAGGCCAAAATCCGGCCCAAGGCCAAACATGTCCTCGTGAGGTATAGCAGCCTGGTTACATATCCACGTCGCCATCATAGGCAAGAGTCAAGGGCTTCTGTGGTGGAGGAGATGCCTTAGAGGTTTTGGATGGCTTACTAAAAAACAGAGAGAGAAGAGATGGAGAAATCTCAAAATGGATGTTGCTTGGTGTACCAAAAGGCAGGCCAACTAGATTTCAGTCTTTAAGAAGAATTCCATTAACTGATAACAGGGGCTCACAACAGACGAAGTAGCATGGACGAGTATAACTCATACTTGACAGCAGTGTGTTGGAAGAAATAAATGTCCCTATGCCTGTCAATGTTTATGCTGCTCTCATAGCAAGTATGTATGACCTACAATAATGCTTCTGCTTTAATAATCATATGTTATGGATTTTTTTGAAGACAGTAGAAAAGCACATACCAGATCAAGAATGACACCGTAATGATGAAAAGTATGACAATGAATCCAACGACGGTTACAGCGTAAACCCACAGCTTCACTCTCCCATCTGTGCAACCAAAGAGAAAGTTTTAAGTAACGGGACAGGAAGATTGTTTAAACATTCTTTTAAATCTTTACATACATATTGGTATGAAAATATATACTGTGATCAAAGTGCCTTATCAAAGTTTTCACCTCATTTCAACCTTTTCATATTTTACCAATTTACAAAAACTATTTTTGACATATTTTATCAGAATTTTGTGTGACATCATAAATTAAATTCATGAAATTCGAGAGAGTTTATTTGTATTTAGCACTCTGTATCAATATTTTGAAGTGAATATGATCTGATCTAAATCAATGCAGATCTGCAGATTCTATCCCAGGATTGCCATGTATTGAACTCCAACCATCTTCCCTTTAGCTTCTGGTCTCTCTCTCTTTTTTTTATTTTAGATATACATTTTCACAGTATGACGTTGCCAATACCATATACTGCCATTGGAAAAGTGTTTTCAAGGTAATGTGTATTGTTAGTTTTTTACCAGACAGCATTTAGCTTTTAGACCCAAACAATGATGGTGATCTAATGGTCCTTCTTCCATGTTGGCTGTCTTGATTTTGAAACTAGCAATACATTTTAAATGAAACTTTTAAATGTTTTATTCCTAAAATGTACTTCTTAGTACTTCTTACACAAAAATTGATGAATAGTTGTCAGGAAACAAGAAGGTCTGCGAAGACTCAAGGTCTTTGCAGCTTTGGTTAATAACCTCCTTGGTTTGTCTGTCTAGATTCCAGCTTCTAATTCTCGTCTTCAGGTGATGAATTAAACAGCCTTCATGAGATGTTTAAAGCTTGGAATACAGATTGTATTCTACAACATCAACCATTTTTTTTTTTTTTTTTTAACAATTTGTCTTCTGGCGTTTATAAAGCTGTTTGTTTACTCCTGTTTTTTTTCCCCCAACCAAACCTCTGAAAACTTTTCAGTGTACATGTTTTTGTACTGAAACTAGACCAGCCTCAGGTAACCTGTATACAATTGTAATTCAGTTACTTCTAAATTCAGCTGTACTACTACTATTCAGTTTTTACCTGTGGGGGAATAATTGCTGCAGATTTTAATTAGTCGTACCAAAGTAAAGAGGCGTAAATGCAAATGTCAAGTGTCCTGAAGTGTGTTTCCATTTCCCAATTTCCATTTTGCTATAGATGTTAATACATTAGAGAAAGTACCACTGAAATACACAGATTTTTGTGGTGACAAAATTTAAAAAAGATACTACTTTCAGAATGCAATATTTAGGAGGAAAATTTGATCAAAAGGCAAGTCTGCTGTGGTTTACCTTAGAGCTAATAAGAACTAGAGAGACATTAACGAAGAAGAAATTCTTCCTGTTGTCCATTTATCTCATTGATTTTACAGGAACAAAGTTATTTTCAGAAGCAGAAGCAATGTCAAACAAGCTGCTTAGAGAGGATTTCTATTTCAGTACCTGGGCCAACAGGCCTTAAGGTCCACTCGCTGAACAGGTTGTTGGCTTGAGATGGTCGGGGTTTTAATCTTCCAGAGTTAGTTTTCACATCGGCTTTTTTGCTGTTGTCCACCCCTGGGGTTCTGGTACAGTAGTCCAAGAAGCCGTGTGAAGTCATCACTTCAGTGTAGCCCTTCTCACACCCACACACTCCACTCTGTATGAAATGGTGCCAGGAACAGAAAATCATTAACTCTTCACATAGAAGTGTTAAAATTGTTAATTGACATTTTAGGAGACCCCCTGTGCAGTTGCATGAAGATACTCTTAGGGGCAGTATAGCACCAAGCTGTGGGCATTCATTTTTACTCCCCACCCCCACATTTCCACTCCAAATAACCACACAGGTGTACTCCTTAACTGACACATGCAGTGATGTTAATCTGATTAGTTTATAACGGCCTGTTATAGAAAATTAAAAATGTGATTTATCAAGATCCATGGAGTGTCCCACCTAGAAGGGGAGCAGAAAACACAAATATCTCCGCACAGCCTGATAATCTTACCGGTGTGCAGTGTGAGAAGGGCTTTGTGCACGGAGGATGGCAGTGTCGAATGGTAGTGGGCCTTTTTTGTGGGAAACACCCCCCTGAGAAGAGAAAACAGTCTTACCTTTATTCCTTTACACATTGATCGGTAAATTAATGTTCTGTCACAGCTGATTAATGGGTCCAGGTGTCTATCAGGGTCCCTGATCAATTGTGAACATTTTAATTCCAACACAGAAAATTGCATGTCAAAATATCAAAGAGTAATGCCTTGGGCTTTTGGGTTTTCTGCCAAAGCTGTTTTTTTTTTTTTCCTCCTTTCCTTCTGGATTCATATTTGCCAGAAACACTTCCTTAGAATGATAAGATCACATCCGCCCACTATTTACAGCATCTCAAGCCTGCCCAAAGCATTTATATTCCCACAACAGCCGTAGTTTTGTTCTATTTCTCTTAAGCTGGTTTAGATACTATAAATACAAATGGATGATTATATTTATATGGACTGAAAGCCCCCGGGTTCAGCTTGGTTTATTGATTACTTTTGTTAAACAAGGGGAAAAAGTCAATCAATAGACCCTTGTATGAAAATAGGAAGATCAAAAGAGGTGTTTAGTCTTGCCAGAACACTTCACTGAAACTATTCCGGGTGAGTGTGTCTTGATGCAATGATATTTAGAAATCAGTTTGGCTAAATCAGAGACAAGTCAAGTCTCAAGTCAAGTCCTTCACATTTGATGTATGATGTAATGTCTGCATAAAATACTGATTAATAAAAGTAATGTGTTAAAATTACAAGCTTTCATTTGAGTTTTACACATTAGATTTTTTTCTTTTCCAAAAAAATATATATGCTGTTATAGTTGGCTGTCAAAATTTTTTAAAATGATTAAAGCATGATAGCCACCCCAATGATAATATAAATATGCAATATGTTACAGAAAAGAAAACATTTTCCAGTACAGATCTTTGCAAAAATTACTAGCTTACTTACAGGTACAGTGCATACTCATTTGATCCCTTTTTAATATTCAATCATAAACTTTAGCATCGGGAAAAAGATCATGTGAGTAAATTAAAGTCCAGTTATTTAGGAGAAAACAGTTCTACACACACCTACCTAAATTACCTCAGATGTCAGAACAAGAAAATAAAAAAATAAAATGAAGAAAATCTAAAAATAAATATCTTGATAATCCTCAAGACTTCAGAAAAAAAACTGGACTGATCATATGTATTAGGTATAAATAAAACTGTTTGGTATTATCATAATGTGGGGCAGCTTTGCTACTTCCTTTACTGGAAGAAGCCAGAAAAAATTCTCTCTACTAAAAGGAGTTCCGGATGTTCCTAAGAGCACAGTGGCCTCCATAATCCTTAAATGGAAGGAGTTTGGGATGACCAGAACTCTTTTTAGACCAGGCCGTCCAGCCAACTGAGCAATAGTGGGAGAAGAGCCTTGGTGACAGAGGTAAAGAAGAACCCAAAACACCACTGTGACTGAGCTCTAGAGATGCAGTAGGGAGATCGGAGAAAGTTCCACAAAGTCAACTATCACTCCAGCCCTCCACCAGTCGGGGATTTATGGTAGATTGGCCCGACGGAAGACTCTCCTCAGTGCAAGACATTTGGAAGCCTGCATAGAGTTTGCCAAAAACACACGAAGAACTCCCAGACCACGAGAAAGAAGATTCTTTGGTCTGATGAGACAAACGTTGAATTTTTTGGTAATAATCCTAAGCGATTTTTGTGGAGAAAACCAGGCACTGCTCATCACCTGCCCAATACAATCCCAACAGTGAAACATGGTGGTGGCAGCATCAGGATTATTGGTTGCAATTGAAGGAAAGACGAATGCGGCCAGGTACAGGATTATTGTACACAGTTTGTGAACTGTGTCAAACTCTGTGGTTTCGTCGTAAAGTGTAAGTTGTAGCTGCATGCAACGGTTGAAAAAAATCACCCGGCTTTGAAGGCAGTTAGTTTAGATGCACTACTGTCATTAGAAAACAATCATTTACTCAAATGATCCAAATATCCTGACCTAGTTTGTCTCCTGATAGCACGAGATAGGAATTTATGCAAGACTTGAGTCCTAGACTTCAGCTTGAGTATAAAGTAGAGTCTGAAGTCTTTTCTTTTTTACAATTTAAGTGCAACTTGACTTCTCAGCTGTGCCTTCATGCTTGTCTAAATTTGTGACCGACAGATTGCAAAGTCCTTATGCTGCACGGCAAGTTTCAATCTTATCTAAGTTTTGTTATATCTGGTAAAGATCTTATCTGTAGCAACACAGCCCACTGACAGTTTAATACTATTGTAAAGTCTAAAGAAGATAATTTTGCAATTTTACAATGTCAAATCTTTGCATTTCCTTTATCTCTTGATCCAATAAGGCACCATTTTCCTCTAAATGTAAATCAAAACCACCTGCTTCAGCTGCTTAAAAAAATTTGCAGTTTGACAGATTTTAGAGAAGAATGAAAGATTCACATAATATCTGAGCTGCATAAATAATTTTAGAGCTAAAGACTTATTCAGTAATGCTGCAAACATTGATATGAAGCAAACTAAAATGAAAAGGGCTTCAGCCTTTTTACTGTAAGGGAACAGGAACAGCTCACTTTAAGTTGCCTGATTTGTTGAGAAATTATGGAAGTGTCACTATGTCCCTGGGGGTGTTTGGTTCAACCTATCTATGAGCAGCCTAGATACTGTAACTTTTTACCTGTCACATTAACACCATCTGAGCGCTGACACCACACTGCCCTCTTGTTGTTGGTCCATCCTCCTATTTTCCACTGGTAACTGTGGCATTTTCCTCCTGCAGAGACAAATGAAAAACTCATTAGCAGTTTATTTTGGGGGTCCACACCTTTCCTCAAGCTCCTATAGATGGTAACCTCAATTTCTTTTAGACCTGCACCTTTGCATTATAAAGATAAGACATATAATGATTGCAAAGACAGGTAAAAGGAAAGAAAAAAAACTGTAAATTATTCAATTGAGACACCATGCGAGACAATGGCAAGCTCGGATAAAATGAGGTAAAATTGGCTGGAAATGTATGAAATGGGCCTCTTTTTTGCAATCAAAGCTCTTATTTTCCAGAAGTGAATTTTATAGAAAGGTTGATTTGAAGAGAGAAGCAAAGACAGATGGAAACTGATTCGTGGGAGAGAAAAAAGTACAGCCACACAAAGCGGTAATTTGGGAAAATGAACAAAAAGAGTCAAAAGTAACACCACAGAAAGTACAGAATAGAAACTATACATATGTATACACTGGTAAGTGCAATTTTAAAACAAATGTACTAAAACTTAACTGCAAATTTAATTCGTACACATATGGTTAAAGAGAAAAAAACAAGGAACGGTAGTGGGTAGGTCTAAAAAAGTATAAAGTAATAGCACAAAAAAAGAACTATAAATGAACTGAAATTACATATCTTAAGGTTCCCTAATTTTAGGTAGACAGGTTGAGGGCCTTATATAATAGGAAACCTAAAACCAAGCAGCTAAGAGACGAATTAATTTAAAGATGATCTGACAAATTGACTGGTGACTAGAAAGGTGCGATTTCTAGCCTGATTGCCTCTGACTCAAGACAGAAACTTAAAGGTCTATTCTTTTTCTTATCCGCAAATGTGTCACTTCTAAGTGCTTCCAAGCCATGCTGAAAAGAACATTATTAAGAGTCTACACAGTTAATGAATAATAAAAAATGGAGCTAATTTAAGTTTCAGTGATGTTGGTCATCAACAAAATGAAGTCAGCGCAAGAGCAGAGACAGAAGAAGTTTTTCTTCTGTAACTTTTTAAAACATTTAAAAGACAAATGCTTTGTGCAAATGAAACGCAAAGATGTGTATGACTTCAATGTCTCAAAAAGAGTCACGAGGCTAAAGAAAAAAAAGCACTGCTGTACCAGTTTAAGCTGTTACACCATCTATTTCTTTTTGAAAAGTGAGCAAAAGCATGTAATTTTATTGTCTTTGTTGATAGGGAAATATTTGCTTGTGCCCTCTGACCGGATTTACAAAGAGTTTGATTTATCAGTTGACTCCCCTAGTTGGCAAACTAATCAAGCTGCTACTGCTGCTGTGATTGGCTAAAAACCTCTACATGGGCGGCAGATCCCCAATCACCTCAAAGAAATGTACTGAATGTCCCCCCTGTTTTGTGAACACTTTCTACATGAGGCTTTCCAGATCAATACGTGTTTTTCAATTTGATATCTACATGGTATTAATCTGGCTTATACCAGGTTATGAACTTGGTATTAGTTGTTAAATTTTTTTTTACAAAAACAGGAATATAGAAATCAGCCACAAAAATCATCGAACCCCTACATTGAAGCTCTCTAAATCTGTAAATTCTTCTGGAACCAGAAGGGTATTTTGGCAACAAGCAAAGTTGAAACCAAGCCCATCATCCTGTCCCCTTTTCTGTGGTAACCAGTTGCAGTGAAGCTTTTTTGTATTAAATAACAAGTGTCTGAGAGTGAGAATAATGAGGGCTTTCTGGAAGAAACACAAACTGATAGCAACCAATACAAGCTTAGGCCATTAGCTTGCCCATGTGTATCGCTGAGTAGACTGTGTGACAAAGAATTTAATTCTGCAGTATTGGGGTAGGTGCCAAGTACTTTGTGACTGTTTGAATATTAAAAATTGATACTCTTTAAAAAATAATAAGCAAGAACAGGGAGTAGAAATGATTCCATCACGTAGGCTTACAATATATGTGTATTGTTTCTTAGTCTGTCCAAATTCTAGGTTTTTAGGGTGAAATATAAGCGTAAAAACATCCTCTTTCAGACCTTTACAAGTCTGGGTCTCAAAGATCTGCTGTGGGCAGCTGCCTTGGTTCTCCATTGCCTGAACGATCACAGCTCGAGAACGCGCTTGACGGCCGGTGGGCTCAAAGCTGCGGCCCTCCAGGCAGATCAGCTGGCAGGAGCTCCAAGTAGACCACTCTGTCAAATGGCAATCACCTGAACAAAAAAAGAAAGCATCTAATGTCACAGCTTGATCATCATTCAGTAATAATCTGTTCAGTTCTAGAAGGCTGATTTGCCAAAAATGAAGTACTGGAAGATTTAATAGGAATCAGAAACAGGTGACAGACTATGTTCTAAATGTAGAAACAGATTACCGGATATTGCCTTCACAGTGAGACTCCAAAGGTAAATGTAAAGGCGATGAAGATAATTGAAACAGGTCTCCCAGGGGAGAAAAGTTCTGATTGATATTTTTTTGTGAGTGAGGCAATAAATTAAACAAAGACTTTCCTCCTTGAATATCAAACACAAATATCCTTTATGCTGCTTGGTAGGGTTATCCTGCATTGCTACTATCACCCAAAGCCAGTGTCTCTCAGCCTCAGAAAGCCTCTGATTCTCTGCCTTGAACATCCATTAGTGACTATCTGTGGACTCAGGCATCTCATTATCTTTCATCTTCACACACAGACTGTATCAGCTCTTGTGCTACACAGCTTCATCTAAGGCTGCATGCTGCGGCTGTAGATGCATAAAGCAGCTTACAGCTGCATTCACACATTGCATTTCACATGTATGTCAGATTTAACTCTGCTGGACCTTGCATTTCACCTGCTACAACCTTCACACCAACAGACTTACACAAGCAGCAAGAAGAAACGCACACACATACACACATGTCTGCCCTTGGCATCAAACACTTCTGATCCTGAGCCAAGACTTGCTGCATCGACAGATTGAGTGATGAATCAAGCAGAGGATCACAGAGTAGAGAGATGGGCAGAGGCAACCACTTACTCTTCACAGTTAAGCCTTACAAAAGGCTTCGTGAGGCAACAGGCCTGGGTTCACAGGGCTGAGTAGCCTTTTGACCAAACAATAATAATTGTGTCTTCTAAAAATGACAAGGATATAAATAAATCCACCTCTTTTGCTTTCTTTACAGCAGCTATGTGCAGATGCACAGTAAAGCTTCATTAAAGAAAGATAAGAGCTGACAGAAAAGCAGAATACCTATCAGCTTCCCAGCTGCTGCTTCTCTGGCAATGATTAATTTTTTTAACTTGAGAAATAATTGAACCCTGATTCTTTAAATAGAATTCATTGACTTTGCAAATGCAGTTAAAGAGCATAGCATAAGTCAATTTTTCAGTCAACAAAATTATCACATTGTAACAATATGGAGACAGATTTACAGTTCTATTGAGACATTAATATCCGACTCCTTTACAAAACGTTAATACAAAGTTGCACTTTCTGTTCCAATTAATCATTGGAATTGTACCTTTACTTATTTGACCACTCCCTACTGACATAAAATACGTTTAAATTCTATTTTTCAGACTTCTAAGTGTAGTTCATAAGGTTTGAACATGAATACGTTTAAAGTTATACCAGAGGGTAAATATTTTCCTGTTTGACCATTTCAAAACTAAGTGTAATTTGATGTGTATTTACGGTATAGTTATTTTCACAGAACACCCAAATATGTCTATGTTTCTGCTTTGTAGACTGTGATTTAAGGTGAGGTTGGAGAATTTTGCCATTGTCCTCCCGTTTCATTATTTTACAGATTTTGTGATGGTACTTTGACTAACACTGGGAATAAAACAAAACATGGTTCTTTAACCCACAAACTGTACTTGACAGCTGTTAGAGTTGGACTATTAACTCATTAAAAAAAATATTTTGTGACTTTATCCAAACGAATTACATTTTGATTAAGGTCATGAAACTTTCATCTTTAGGTTAGAATTAGGCTTCTGAAACTTTTTAACATTGGGCATATTGAAAATGTGTTAATCATGTTTAAAAGCTAGACGCAACAACCACTTTAAATAAACTCTATGAACTGTCAACGAGAGTTATCGAACATTCAGCACCATTGATGACAATCGTGTTGATCGTTACAGAAATCTATTTTTTCAACCAGCTGATTAAAACACTGAGAAAACTGTGACAATGTTCTGTTTTAAAAAATCCTTACAAAAGTCAAATGTATTAACATATAATACTATTTTCACATTGTTACATTACTGTTTGAGAGATGCCTGTCTTTTTGGAATAATAAATTAAATTGTAAATCTAAATCTGTCAAGGGTATAAATAATTTTAAACTTAACTTTAATAAAGAATAAATTTAATACACTGTTGCTGGCTAGACTGCCTCTTATTTTTGTTAATGGGAATGTATTACTTTCACACTCTCTCCCAATGCAGCACTCCCATTGGCATTAATTCTGTGTCTGTGATAAGTGGAATGATTGCCAGGGACTAGGTGATTGCCTTAGGCAGTGTGATCTGTTAATTGTTTCAATTAGCACAGAATATTTTTTCATGCTCTACCTTCTAGTGACTTATTAAATGAATTATTGCAGAAAAAAACTGGTGTCAAATCATTGATCACAGAGAATGTTATCCATTTAGTTATTCAAGAGCACCTTTGAGTGCCATTACTTGTTTTTAAGTCAAAAATATTGGATTTATTCCCATGAAAGGGAAATTACCTTCAGTGTTTATTAGAGAGACCAAATTGGATGGTGCTCAGATCACTGAAATGGGCCATTCATTAAGTTATGACTGTTATTGATTTTGCAATTATTTGGTGTTTAAGAATGTCAGCTAGTTGAAGGAGGGAAGCAAGTAGGAAAACAGGTAGAACATTGGCATAAGAGATGTATGAGTTTTCAATTACTGGGACAATTGGCTAATATCTACTAGTTAATTAGTTCTCTAGTTATGCAGTAATGTATAATCTGAATAACTCCTTAAAATTTTTAGTCATTCTTCTAAACAAAATGCCACTACATTAAAAGAGAAGATACGTGAATACAGAAAAAACAAAAGTAGCTTTGCCTGGGCAGGGGACAAAGCAGGGCTGCTCCATTTCCTGCTGCAGTTGCTGCCTCTGAACATCTCCACAGAGCGATGTGTCCACAGGCTGAGGCGGAGGAGACTCATGCCAGTTCCCCCAGTCGACGACGCAGGAGAAATTTCTTCTCCGGACTCCCTCACCGCACTTTGCACCCTACAAAAAGAAAACAAATCTCTATCGATCAGCTAATTCAAACAATGAGCTGATCATCAGTTCACTTGTAGGGTAAATATTGTATGAAAAAAAAATCACAGATTCTAATCAAAGTTCTTACTGGCTTCTGATGGGTTTCTTCATCCACATTTTGGTTTAGGTGGTTATTTTTAATCGAACATTTCACTAAATTACTGGCCACATAATACATTTTCCAATCTATATTTTGCATCTGGTACCAGTCTGTTTTTCCCTCTGCTTAGTGTTGATGCATTATTTCTCTGCAGTTTGTTTTTCCAATTTGTAAGTCATTAAAATCTGTACAAGTATTAGAACACATGTTCACATATTCAGCCTAATTATGAAAAACCTCCACATTGTTCTTAATTAGAATAAACAATCCACAGTAATTACATTCCATCCTCCACCTAAAAAATAAGCAAATAGGTTTGTTTTTTTCTAATTACAGTAAAGCAAATCTACTGTTTTCAATAGATGTATTCAAGACATTAGACACAAAGTTGACAAATACTTTTTTTTTACTTTCAAAACTGAAAGCAGTCTCTTAAAAATTTCATTATACATCAGACAACATTTCTATAATGTCTATATATATATATATATATATATATATATATATATATATATATATATATATATATATATATATATATATATATATATATATATATATATATATATATATATATATATATATATATATATATATATATATATATTTATATATATATGTACTATACTATACTTTATAAATACATCAATTCTCTAAATCTTACAAGAGGTCACCAGCTTAGACCTCTTGTAAGCAGCTTTGTAGCATAGAACAAAATTAATTTGTGTCCACAAAGCAGGCAAAGGCTCAAAGGAGATAGCAAAGCATTTTCAAGTTGCTGTATCCTCCATTCAGTTTATAATGTATTCAACTAACGGAAAAAGAGCCGTGGAGGTCAAACAGAGGTCTGCAAGTCCACAGAAACTTTTAGAGAGAGATCTACAGAGGGATTGTTAGAAAGGAAAAGTAACAGTCCCTGCTTGACGGAGAAGGATTTTGCAGACAATGAAGTGAGGACAGGATTATTCACTATTCGGGGAAACTGGTGTAAATATGACACTGATAGATGATTTACTTTGTTTCTACAAATTTGGTTTTAAGGGGGTAATTTTACACAGTGTATATAAATGGTTAAAATATTCTGAGGTTTTTCTAAAAGGAATTTTGAAAAAACTAAACTGTTAAAGATTAAAAAATATATTTAGGCTTTATGAATATATATGCTTTACTAGTTATAAAGGCACTGACAGAGAAAAGAGCCATATAAACACTGTAGAAAAAAGATTATATGTAGGATTTTGCAAAAAAGAAAGACTAAAGGAGAAGAGTCTTTTACCATACTGGACTGAAATTCACAGAGAAATCAGACAGATCACAAACAGACATTAGTTAAGTGCTACGCTATGCAAAGGCTTTAAATAACTCCAGTATAAGACTATTAAAAGTTGAATGTCTCCTGATTTTAGAGCATTTTGTGGTTTTTCATACTTAGTTAGTATTGTTGCAAAACTTTTTCTAGCATTGAAATCAAATATTATTTTAATGATACCAGACATTCTCATTTTTATTTGCAAAACATGAATAGTTTAAGTACGTACAGCTTTTTATTTTAAAGATCATCATCACAACAAAAAAAAAAAAAATCTTATTACCATTACTTTATTTGATTTTTTTTTAAACATGAAATACTACAAAACCCATAAGCCCTCAGCATTCCCAAGCACCAACTGGATGGGGAATCGATCTCCTAAAAACAATCTTCTAAAAATATTGAATGATTTATACAAATTTTAGTTTTGAACTGCATTACACAACCAAGCTGGTTATATGCCCTAACTTAATTTATAACATATGTAAAATAAGTAATTAGTATAAAGATTGTTGCTCATTTGGTTCACATAATAAAATCAAGTTGGTTTACTTCTCAATTTCATTTATTTAATTGAAAAAAATTGTAATTATTGATTGTTTTGGTTAATCTACTTTAAGTAAGTTTAATTTACTTGAATTCTATTTTTCAGTTAAAGTCATGAGTAAATAACAAAGAACAATCTTAATTTATCAACATAAAAAAATTATGAAAATATATATATTTTATAAATTAAGATAGAGCAGCATATATATTCTTTTAACATGGGGACAGTTTCAGCTGTTGCGACAGTAAACTTTCTAGACTCAGCTTTATTTTCCATTCAAAAGTTCTCCTACTTTAGTGCGTTTGTGACAGAGCTTTTGCTTAAGACATCAGAATGAATACAACAGTAATACTGTATTGTTTGTGTTATTATCATGCTAATGTTTAATTAAATGACTAGAATTCTTGTACATCAAGCAAATAATCTGCCTTATAAGTATGTTTTATATTATTTTGAAGATGATGTAAAGGAACCAATATCATAGAAAGCCATCCAGTTCAAGTTTTTGCAAGTCATAGCAAAGGGCCACTCCTACTGAGCCTGGTTTTACAGAATGTTTCTTTCTGTTAAAAATAAATTGTTTCTCTTTACTATCACTACTTGCTTAGGATAAGGTGTTGCTGCACAGTTAATGCCTTAATGCAATAGGCTGTTCTTTGATGGATAACTTCCTCCAATTGGCATGAAATTTTGGACTTTATCCACCTAAACAGTATTAATACTGAAGCATAATTTAATTGCTGTATATATATATATATATATATATATATATATATATATATATATATATGGCTTCAACAAAATTGGAAGGGAACTAGAGATATGTACATGTTTAATATCAAGGTATTGTAAGCCTTACCTCAATAGTGCATGCAGACCAGTCATTCAACAGCCACATATAGCAAGGCTTTATGGAACAAGGTTTTGTCTGAGTAAGCTGGTTGGGACAGGGACGACCTTCCTCATGAGCTTCCTGAAGGATTCTCCGGGTTCGTACAGAGTGACCTACATAACGACAGGGCCAACACACCATTTAGATGAACAGTTAAACAGATCCAGAGAACATCTGCAAGCTGCAACCTAGTTTTAAAATGAAACATTGTCTTTTGCTGCATTTGCTGCATCTGTAAAATTTAAAAAAGCATTTTAAGGTACTACTGTTATAGTGACAAACTGCATCAGCTGGAAACAAGTGTGCATTAATAGAGAACATAAACTCAGCTGCATGTAAAAAGTAGGGAGAAATCAAAAATGCTTCAGAGGAAAAAATACGCAGGACTCTGTAAGACAAAATAAAATTGGATAATCGTTTTTTTAGTTATGAAAAGTCGCTTTACTTTCTCATTTTTCCAAGAAATGTTTTTCTCTAGGCAAAGATAAATTAGCACAAGTGTGAAACACATGATCCATTTTGCCACTTAATCCTGAAAACCAGAGGTTCTCTAACAAAGTGCCTTGTTCAAGTGAGCCGTTAATAATGTGTGAAAGGAATTGTATTTTCAACCAGCCACAGAGAGGTGTGTTGTAGGTACAGCGCCACATACAGAAAAAAGACGATTTATTCTGTGCTGAGAGGTAAATGTTTTTAGAAAAGAAACCCATCCACAACAATAATTGTATTTCAGGTACCAACTGTTAATGTGAGTTGAAAGTTACAGTTAGAAAACTGTGTCAAGCATCAAGTCAAATAGTCGTAACGGGCTTAAGATAAAGTCCAACTGAAGTACAGTGCTTAAAGCATGAAGGAGTTTTTCTGAAAAAACAGACAAAAAGTGGCTAGCTTCTATCCCAATACAGCATCTTGCTTTTTTTCTTTGTGTCACTTTACAACACTTTCCTTCTATATATTCCATAATATGTCATGTGAATGACCACAAATAGAACACAAAGTAGCACATAATTATAAAGGAAACTTAAATATGGCTTTTAAAAATGTTTAACAAATAAAACTAAATGATATATATAAAACTGATGTTCGTGTGAATTTGTATTTGGTCTCCATGGTTCAACACTTTGTAGAACCACTTTTTTACTGCAACAATAGCTGCAGTTTTTTCCTAGTATATATCACTAGCTTTGCACATTCGAAGGCATTTTTTTTGTCCATTATTCTATGTTAAATAGTTTTGGATCAGTCCATTAATCATCAATCCGGTTGAATTTGTAAAAGGCTTTTTTTAAATTTATAGGGAAAAAAAGGAATTGAGTTAGATTTAGGTCTGGACTTTGAATGGGTCATTTAAACAAATACCTAAACAATCTTTCTGTAGCTCAGGCGCTGTAAGGCCATCTCATTGGTAACAAATTTCTGCTCAGGGTTACCCTGTATTGAGGTCCATCCAACTTTCCATCAACTCTGAACAGCATGTCTACTGTGATGGGAATGGCATGTTGACGATGATTTTTATCGTACTAGTTTCCTGCCAAGCAGAGAATAGGTCTAAAACCTGCTGTTATTTTGTCATTTGAGAAAAGACCTTTATTCCATTGTGATTTGTGGCAAATTGTAAACATAACATTATATGGATTTCTGTTAACAGCAGCTTTCCTAAGGCTGCTTTTTCAGAAGCTCAGATTTGTTTTGTACAACTAATAATTGTCCTGCTGCCAGATTCTCCCATCTAAGTTGTGGACTCTGCAGCTCCCTCAGAGTAAACAGACATCTTGGATGCTCATCTGATCAATGCTCTCTACTTGCCCACTGTGTCAAATCAGCTGGATGGCCTAGCCATGGCAGCTTTGTTATTTACCCATTCACACACAGTATGTCAATATGATGATGGGCTGAGCAGTGGTCCATGTTCAGAGTTTCGAATATTGTTTAATAAGCTTATTCTGCCACTCCAAAAATTTTGGCCTTGAGCTTTAATGACTTTCAAAAGCAGTGGGTTGCAGTTAATTGTATTTAGGGATATCAGAGTAAAGTGAGACAAGAGTCACTTTTTAATCAAAACTTCACACATTTGCTATTTCATGTTGATTTATTATAAAAAGTTTTAAGAAAGAGTTTGGCATTTCCAAAACAGGGCAGGAAGAAGCATAGGCTTATTTAAGCCTGCCTCCTGCTCAGCAGTGCAACATACTATCTAACATAAGAGCCAATACCCACATAATGAACACCCCCCCATAACAAAGAGAATTCTGCAGACCCCCATTGAAAGTGATAATACTTCTTTTTATATCTTCTTATTATTTGTATATTACATATTACATAAACTTATAATCCTGCTTATATTATTTTTATGTTTTTTCTGCTGCATTTTTATTTTTTAAACCAATAACTTCTCTTTATAGTGTATTTTTTACACTTATACTTGTATTTTTCAATCCTTTTGTAAATCAAGGTCAATCTGTACTACTGTTTTTTTACCATCTTGTTTTACTAGACATTTTTTTTATAATATAAAATCATTCAAAAAGTTTCATAAGCATAGATGAGATTATTTTCCTTATACATTTATACAGATTTCCTCAACTCTGTGCAAGTGATTAGTGTTAAAATGCATTAATAGGTGCATCAGTCCTTACTCACCTACATTTCATTTCTTTTAATATCTGATTTGTTTCCTCAGAAATTATTTCTGCCAATGGTAAATAGAAAAAAATATTTATTTTTACAATAATTACAATTTACAGATTTTAAAGTCAAATAGAAATTTTGTATTATTGTTGTGTTTGGCAGGCTCATAGGTTCTAGTTTTAGTAGAACTAAGTAGAACTTTATCAAACAATATTGCTGGATTGAAATTCCAGAGCATATTGCTATAAGCTATCATCCATCCATCCATTTTCTGTCACGCTTATCCCTACTGGGGTCTCGAAGGATGCTGGTGCCTATTTCCAGCTGTCTACCGGAGAGAGGCGGGGTACACCCTGGACAGGTCCCCAGTCTATTGCACGGCGAGTATCCGTATCATTCCTGGACTATTTCTGTACCTTACTTCCTTAGTCTGCAGAATCCTAGGAGGCTCAGTAAAGGCATTACCTAAATTGACAATTCACAAGACAGCAGCTAAATTTGTGTCTTTTTATGTTTTTTTGTTTCTTTTTTGTAATTGTTGTCAAGCACCAGGCACACACAGTAAAAAGCAATTCAGTTCTGTCCAAAAACAAAACAAAAAAAAAAATCAAACCAAGCACATTAGCATTCCCATGGTGTCTGGACAAAACATAACATAATCTTTGCAATGGTTGAAACAGATACAACACAAATCCCCCATTGAGGCTCAAAGATGTGTTTGTCTTTCTGTTAGGAGGAACCGAGTGGCAGAAAAAGTCTCTGTGGCAGAGCCTTGGGAGACACAGTGAGGGAGAAAACCTCCAGTTTAAATCCCCAGCCAAGAGCTGCTGCAAGTGTGAGCTGATTGGAGTGAGGGGTTAAGTTTGAGCTGACAGACAGCCAGCTACAAATTAAAATTAATGAACTTGAGGAGACAGTGCTGAGTCTTTCTAATTAGCAGGCTAACAAGCTTTCTCTTTTGGAGACTGACTTTGGGAAGCCAAAGAAACAATATATAGATCCGGGTTAAATCATTACTTCTGTATATTGCATGAGGTCAGGATGTCTTTCTCAAAGTGATTACTGACATGCCAGGTTCATGATTACTGACTTCATCTTAAAGCATGCCATATAGCTTATGGCATCCGCACGAGTGAACTGCACATCATTTAGCTGAAATTAACCCTTTCTTATTAAATATGCATTAAACATATTGCAAAGGTGAGCATATTGGTGAATGCCTGATTAGATAAATTTTTGATGCCAATTAATTATGTTCACGGTGACTGTACTCAAGGTTGCCGTTGCTGTTGTTTCGACAGAGTTTAAGTTTGACTATTATAATGTTTACCTTGAGTCCCACAGGTGTGCGAGCAATCCGCCCACGGTGACCATTCGCTGAGGATGCAGCTGACAGGACAGTCAACCATGCAGCTCTCCAACAGCTGCAACTTGTTGATCAAACCAAACTGTGGAAAAAAGAAGCTGAGCTGAGTGGCGGGCCTACTCGTTATTTCCAACAACATCGACAACAATAATAAAAAGACACCCTAAAGCAAACGGCCATGGTTTCATATTTCAAGTTAAGCTGCAGCTCGTTTTAGAATGATTGAGATGCAGCAGTTGGTTTTTACAACTAGTTAATATATCTCTCAGTACTTGAGCTGCAGCTGAGCATTTTAATATACATATATCAAACTGGTAATATAAGAATAACAAAGAAAATCGAATATACATATTTCTGTAAGCCCTCATATTAATAGAAACTTAACAAGAAGAAGTGCAGCAGCAAAGTTTGTGGTGGATTCTTAAAGTGTAGACCACAGTGTCCTCCATTCCTTTAACAGCCATTGTAGTTAAGTGCTGCATTCTTTATCTATGGCTTTGTGTATAAGGAGCCCTGGTCAAGTTTCTACAGGTTTTAGGTTTGGGTAAAGAGGTTGTCGCTGCAGAGGATTGGCTTTGTGACTCGTCAACCATTTATGTGCTGGCATGTCCTTATGCTTCATTCACTACTCATCAGAATTTGAAAGAATTAATGGCATAATGCAAGCAAAACAGGTCAGCAGAATTACAGTTCCTTTACTGTGCTCAGCTTTGAATGCGGTTGCTGTCCTCATTCAAAGTTAATTTTTTTTACAATTGTTAACATTTCACAATTTCACAAGCTTTTTATGTGACTCTGGAAACACACTAGGCTTCAGTCCTGGCAGAGTTTGGAACAATAAACATTTTTATCAAATTTCTAAAGAAAAAAAAATATTCTGGCTTTATCACAATCAGTTGGCATGTAGACAACATTTAATGTATACTAAGGAGAGTTTGTTATAACAGTATGCCAGTTTTTGCTACAGTATACTAGTAACATTCAAGTTACAGATATCTAATTAAACTGAGTTTTATTTATATTAATCAAAGATTTATATTTCAAGTGATCTTTAAATTTTACTGCATTTGAATTTCACCTAAAAAGGAGGGTGGCTCAGCCAGTGTCCCATTTTAAAACTGATAGAAAGTCTGTGGTGGGAGCTAAAGACCAAAATGATGGCAGGGGAGCCCTCCAGCTTCAGAGACTTGCAGCTCATCACTTAAGAAAAATCCTTAATGCATATTCCGGGTTAGAAAATATATAAAGTGTTTGATTGCAGTAATGCCAATAAAAGTGATTCTGAATGATTATTTAGAAGAGGGTAGATACTTTTCAACATGCCACTATGCAAAACAGTTTAATTATTTTGGTTTCTTATCCCTTTTTACATAGATCTTGTCTTTCTTATTTCCAATCTGAAATAAACATATTAGCTCAAAGGAAATAAATAAATAAAAAAAAAAAAAAAATAATAAATAAATAAATAAATAAATAAATCAATCAATCAATCAATCAATCAATCAATCAATCAATCAATCAGCAAAGTGTAGGAAAAATTTAGGCATGAATGTTCCCTCTGTATTTTGGAAACATAAACATAGATAAACATACAAAATAATCTTTAGGCCATTTCGTAAAAGAATATGGCCCTCTGTCCAGTTCCTATACAAACTCTGCTTGTGTAAAAAATTTTTATATTACATATGAAAAAGCTGTTGTCAAATTTTTAAATATGCTGAATTAAATGGAATAAGGAGGTTATGAAAGTTATTTCTTAAAATTAAAATTATTTCCCCCACTAACTTAACATACCGTACTCAAATTAAGTCTGAATTCTAAAAGTAAAAAATCATCAGATGATTATGTATTATTTAGTTTAAAATGCATTTTCTTAGATATCTCAATATATTTGCTGCATCTTTTCAATTTTGCAGAGGAAACATCTGCTTTTCCCTTTATTGCAGCATCCCAAAAACACTATTTGTCTTCGCACAATTGAGATAACACAATACCATTAAGCTCTGTTGACCTAGTGGTAAACTGCTTATTGAAACATTGGTTTCAAGATTAGAGGCAACATTAGCAGTTAAGCATGAAGCGACAAGCCTTTCAATATACTATAAACTATTGCAGCAGAGTAAGCCCTGCATTAACCATCAATAACCCCTCACTGAAATGGAGGAACACAAGATTTCTTCTGTTTAGCACAAAGACATCATTCTTAATGAGTAAATATAACAAATTCATTAGTATTTCATTCTCTTATAATCTGGATGGGTTTAAATTTTTAAGCAGATATAAAATGTGAATTGGGATATACTTGCAATTAAAACAAAGCCCCTGGTAAAGCCCTTGTGTGTCTGTATCAAGGAGAATAAGTGAAGATTAAACATCCGCCAACAATAAGCTCAAACTGCTTTCCTCTGCAGGCTTTTTATTTAAGGCCTCTCTATCTTTATAGGGCCATTACCTGTTGGCACTTCTGCAACTCCACAGTTTTACCATCACTCCGCACACAGTCCAGCAGACGCGACCGGTAACCCTGACCACAGATGGCATTTTCACTCAGCCGGCAGGTACTCCAGTCTACACACAAAACATTGTTACATGTGCATGACTTTTTTTGTTTTTTTTTTGCAGTACAGACTTAGGAAAGGATTGGGGGGGAACAAAATTGATGAATGAATGTGAGTAAACATTAAAAGATAGTGACAGTATTTTTTTTTACATCTTTGCATTTACATTCAATTCACCCCCCCACCACCCAGTGACTAATATGCCCATATAGCACATTTTTACAATGCTTCATAGAGAGGTGCTGTATTTTAAAGAACCCTGACAGATTGCCTCACAATCTCAGTTTCTTAATCAACAGACCAGTCTGAGCTTTACAGAATACAGTGAGTGAAGAGACAGCTTTTTGTTAAAAAAGGCAGACTCAAACACACTATTTTTGATACCATTTGTTAAAAAACAACTGATTGAAAAGACAGATTCAATTTGCATGAGATTGGCATGAGATCAATCCCTAACAAGTGGAATATTGCTGGTACTCTTGCATAGCACTTCTATTGAGTCGGTAGTAATAGCGCATATAGTTAAAACCTAACTCAAATACAGTGTAAAACTAATAACATGGGGTTCTTTTTAATCATCTTTAAAATATTTAAAATTGATTACAAGGTCGGCTTTCTATCACCTGAAGAACATTTCCAGGATTAAAGGACTAATGTCTCAGCATGATCTGGAAAAACTAATCCATGCGTTTATTTTTAGTCGAATTGATTACTGCAACGGTGTTTTCACAGGTCTGCCTAAAAAGTGGATCAGACAGCTGCAGCTGATCCAGAACGCTGCTGCCCGTGTCCTCACTAAGACTAAGAAAGTAGAGCATATCACCCCAGTTCTAAAGTCCTTACACTGGCTCCCTGTATCTCAGAGAATAGACTTTAAAATACTTATGTTAGTCTATAAATCTCTGAATGGCTTAGCACCTAAATACATCACAGACTTGCTATCAGTTTATCAACCCTCCAGACCACTCAGGTCTTCTGGCTCCAGCCTGCTCTGCATACCTAGAACCAGAACTAAACATGGAGAAGCAGCATTTAGTTCCTATGCTCCACTTATCTGGAACAAACTTCCAGAAAACTGTAAAAGTGCGGAAAGCCTAAGTTCCTTTAAATCAAGACTAAAAACACATTTGTTTAGGATTGCCTTCGACTGTTCTAGTTAAACAGTTCAACAAAAACATGTTTTCTTTAATCCAACTGTTTTTAATATTCTTTTTTTGTTTCTGCATTTTTTATTTTATTTTATTTGTTTTTTATTTTTTTCCTACTTGCTTTGATTCTGTTTTATCTTCCTGTATTTTAATCATGTAAAGCACTTTGCATTGTCTTTCTACTGAATTGTGCTATACAAATAAATTTGCCTTGCCTTGCCTTGCCTTGAAACTGTTTTGGTTTAAAGTCAGTTAGGATTACTAAGATAACTTTTAACTTGCTATGCAACAGGCACTTGACATTGAAGTAACACTGAAACAATGTGGGAGCCCAACGTTGGATTACCATTGGATTATGATATGAAATTGTAAGATGGATTTATGTAAAATCCTTTCCTAATTGAACATTAGTACTCAATGTTGAGCAGATGTTGGATATTGGTAACTCACCAACACAACTTGACAGCAACTAAATGATGTCAGATTAATGTTACAAACTTAACGTTTAACTAACGTTAGCTTTTGACGTAACAACGTTGGCTTTTTGTTGTCACCAAAGTTAATACAACATAGTATATAAACATTGCTGAATATAATTTGTAAGTAGACTGAAGTTTATTTCATGTCTCTGTTCCATATTTTGAATCATAAGGGGGAGAAAGTTTAAAGGTATAGCAAACATACAGTATTTTAGGTTTGGAGTTTAAAAAAAGTCTAAAAAAAATCTCTGCATCTTTTTTCTGACACTGAAACAATTTAGGCAATCCTAACAGACCTAAAACTGGAAAGATTCAGTGTCAGACAGAAAAATGGCTTAATTTGTCCTTTGCATGCAAAATATCTGGTTTCAGTTGCATGTGTGATATACACTATATTGCCAAAAGTATTTGCTCACCCATCCAAATTATTGGAATCAGGTGTTCCAATCACTTCCATGGCTACAGGTGTATAAATTCAAGCACCTAGGCATGCAGACTGTTTTTACAAACATTTGTGAAAGAATGGGTCGCTCTCAGGAGCTCAGTGAATTCCAGCGTGGAACTGTGATAGGATGCCACCTGTGCAACAAATCCAGTCGTGAAATTTCCTCGCTCCTAAATATTCCACAGTCAACTGTCAGCTGTATTATAAGAAAATGGAAGTGTTTGGGAACGACAGCAACTCAGCCACGAAGTGGTAGGCCACGTAAACTGACGGAGCGGGGTCAGCGGATGCTGACGCGCATAGTGCGAAGAGGTCCCCAACTTTCTGCAGAGTCAATCACTACAGACCTCCAAACTTCATGTGGCCTTCAGATTAGCTCAAGAACAGTGCGCAGAGAGCTTCATGGAATGGGTTTCCATGGTCGAGCAGCTGCATCCAAGCCATACATCACCAAGTGCAATGCAAAGCGTCGGATGCGGTGGTGTAAAGCACGCCGCCACTGGACTCTAGAGCAGTGGAGACGCGTTCTCTGGAGTGACGAATCGCGCTTCTCCATCTGGCAATCTGATGGACGGGTCTGGGTTTGGCGGTTGCCAGGAGAACGGTACTTGTCTGACTGCATTGTGCCAAGTGTAAAGTTTGGTGGAGGGGGGATTATGGTGTGGGGTTGTTTTTCAGGAGCTGGGCTTGGCCCCTTAGTTCCAGTGAAAGGAACTCTGAATGCTTCAGCATACCAAGACATTTTGGACAATTCCATGCTCCCAACTTTGTGGGAACAGTTTGGAGCTGGCCCCTTCCTCTTCCAACATGACTGTGCACCAGTGCACAAAGCAAGGTCCATAAAGACATGGATGACAGAGTCTGGTGTGGATGAACTTGACTGGCCTGCACAGAGTCCTGACCTCAACCCGATAGAACACCTTTGGGATGAATTAGAGCGGAGACTGAGAGCCAGGCCTTCTCGTCCAACATCAGTGTGCGACCTCACAAATGCGCTTCTGGAAGAATGGTCAAAAATTCCCATAAACACGCTCCTAAACCTTGTGGACAGCCTTCCCAGAAGAGTTGAAGCTGTTCTAGCTGCAAAGGGTGGACCGACGTCATATTGAACCCTATGGATTAGGAACGGGATGTCACTTAAGCTCATATGTGAGTCAAGGCAGGTGAGCAAATACTTTTGGCAATATAGTGTATGTGGGCATCTCAGCTGCATAAGAAGGCTATGCCAGAGCACCAGTTATTTAAAGCAAAATATTTTCCATGATACTAAAAAGCAATGCACATAAGATTTTTTCCATGAAATGAACTGTACCTACTAACATAATTTAGTTTTAGTCAGCCACTGTGACGCTGATGAAGATTTAAGAAAAATAGCAGCAGCTCAGTTGGAATTTAAGAGGATATATACAGAACGTGGCTGTTAAAACAGGTATTGCTTAGGAGCTAAACACAAAAGGCTAGAAATGCAAATTATGTTTTCAGAGACAAAACCTTTGATCTATAGAGAAAATAAAGACACATGTGGCATGCCTTTTTTTATGTAGCTGCTCTACACATGAGACATATATGATTATGAACCAATGACAAAACTGGCTTTTTTTCCCCTCGATCCTTAAATATTTGCCTCTTTATCTAACATAATATTAAAACAGTGTGTTAGATGGCCATACCTGAGACTTTGTACTGGTAAGTGAAGCAGGTGCTGTTTAAAAGACAAGGTTCTGACTGAACCAGCTCTGGACAGGCTGCTTTCTCTGAGGCAGGAAGGCGGAGGATGTGTCTGGTTCTGTTCCTTTTACTGCCAGGGTCGCACTGCTGCAGAACAATCACACCACCAAAAACAATGTGCTTAGTTTGAGAGACAAGGATTGAAGGATAAAGACAACTGGATTTAAACCTGCCCAGTGTGTGTATATTTCTGACCCACTGACTCAAATTTTGCACAGATGTCTTATAGAATGATTCTAAAATTTAAGTGAATATGCTTTTTCAAATTTCTTAACATGCTCTAAACCTGCATAACAGAACATTTACTGCTGTAACTCTCAGATTAGTGGGTATAGAGAACTGCGTAAAGGAATGAATTATAAATTCATCCTATCACCACTGCACCTTACTGCCTTAAGTTTAATTTATTTTTATGGTAATTTGTCTTAGACATTAGCAGTAAATCCCCCTGATCCATCATTTTATACAGACATTGTGAATACATTTCCTACTGCCATTCTCAAGGCTGAAGATACAGCTAATCTTTTAAAGAGGTATTCTAAGGACACAGCATAATACATGTTAATATATATTTTTTGTTGTTGTGGAGATAATTTAAAAGTTCTTGACATGACATTCCATTGTAGTGCTGCTCAAAATACATTCTTATTTTTCAGAAGAAATCTATTATAATATATTTAAAAAGAAAATGAAACCTGCTACAAAGTCAAGTGAAACTGAGATCTAAGTAGCTTGATAACAAAAAGGCGCTTGTGAATTTTAAAAGTAAACAAAAGCACATTCAATCCAAATAGGACTTTTTCAATAGACAAGAAAAATAATTGCCGCACTATCATATTGTAAAGTAAATCAAATGTTTTTTTTGCTATCCCTCTGTTGCAATATTTTCTAAAGCAGTTATAACTACGTTGTATGCTCAAGGTTCTCATTCTTTTCATGTCACATTTATTTACAGAGCTTGTCTCATTGAGATCCAATTTCTCAGTAGTTACAGTTGAGATGTAGTTCTACAGTTTTTCATGTTTTTCAAAGTTTGTCACAAAAATTAATTGGTTCTGGAGTTAAAAGCTAATTTATAAGTCAAAACAAAAGGGGAGTATATATCTATCACATATTTCATGAGTCTCATGAAGTAATAGTTTATTTGATAAATATTCTATAAACCTTTTAACTGTCATAATATTTGTATTTGGCAGATACACTGCAAAAAAATCTAAATCTTGATAAGTCATTTTTTTTCTTAAAATAAGTACATTTGTTCTTGAACTGACGAGATGAAAGAGACATTTTGCCAATGGAACAAGATAATTTACACTTAAAATAAGAAAACACAATTGCATTGTCTAATTTAAAGTAACTATTATCTAATTATCTTATTTTAAGAGTAAAAATACTGGTTCCATTGGCAAACTATCTAATTTATCTACTCAAATCAAGGGTAAATACACTTAATTTAAGAAATTTTTTCTTATTTCTAGATCGTTTTTCAAGTGTATATTTCAAATCAATTATGTTAAACGGATTATGTATTTATTTATTTATGATTATTTACAGAGAAATAGTTCTTAGAGATAATGTGTTGACCTCAGTTACTCTGACAGTTTGTCGTCAACAAGATTATTGTTGCAGCATTTTCTCTAAACTTCATAACTAATCATGAGTTTTGTGTAAATGCTTAAACCTCATTTCAAAAATACTTAATCCTTCTTTTATAGAATTTTCTTAAAAGGAAAATCTCATCCCTTTACTAGATGAGACTGCTGCTACTGTACACACTTTAGTATGCAACCTATTTCAGTGTAAATGGATTGGAAAATACAAAAATTCTACAACAACCAGTGCTACTGCCATGGGTATTTGGTGGGAACCTGATGGTGTTCATGACCTTGTCCCAGCTTTGCTCAATATAGGGAAGGTTTTTGAGCTTCCGGTATAAATTTAGCAGCAGTACAGAAAAAAAAATCTCCTCTTCCTACAAACTGGTGCTAATGCTTTAGCATTAATAATTAATCTGTCAGCTTTTAAAATCACATTATCAGTAGCATAAGACGAATCAGATGAAAGGTTTTCTGTGTAGAATCTCCTCTGCACTTCCTTCTTTCATAATAAGAGAAAAAGTGTGCTTTGCATCCATCTAAAAGAGTGAATAAAGTGTAATCCCAATGGTTTTAATGAGAATGGTGCAGCATGTTAATGTGCGCAGAAACCACACCCATTCTTACATGAATTGGAAGTGATGGGCTTACAGTACTGAAATATGACACCAAGTTTGGCTGGCATCAACTCATGGATACAGGTCCATCAGTGTCAAATGTTTCTAAATGCTCCACACAGGACCCTGATACAGCACCACCATGATAACACACAATTAAAAACATCATCATAAAAGTGTTATGCTTTTTTGGAGATCCTTTATGTTCCATCAATCAAGGGAATTTCTGTTATTCTTACGTCACACTGGCTGACTATTTACATCTTAGACCAGCTTATAGCAGTGGATGTGGATGGTGATGGTAAATAAGGGGTTGGTATTAAATAAATAATCTAAAGAAGGAAAAAAAATATACGTGACTCAAAACAGTGAAGAGCAATTTAAAATACAAGAAAATCTGTTTCCTTTTACAGAACTAAAGTAAATCCAGTTAGACCACAATGTTTGATCATTTCCTAATAAAGAACAATTATTTAATAGTCTGCCCTAATCTTTCCTCATTAAATCTAAAGCACATCATTGTTTTTCAACTCTCAAAACTGATGGAATCTGTGTACTGTTTTTTATTTTTATTTTTTTTTAGGATGCCTTAATTTATTTTTGTCAGTGACTCAGTAAAAACCAAATTAAATACAAACATTGATTTTGTAATATCTTATACTAATCTAATACTATACTAAAGTTATTTTAAAAATAGCACCTCTGATTAAATTATACCAATCAATATGTTTCAAAGTTTAAGTGTGAATGTCACTGGTATTGAGCTGTAGAATAATACATTAAAATTTCCCCCTCTCAGACCTTTGGAGCAAGATGAGTGTGAGCTTGATAATTACCTGGTGAGCAATTGTCATAGCACCACAGAGACCTACCCTGGGGAAGCGGGGAAGTAGTAGCATGATATAATAAATTACTGCTACATTAGGAGAACATATCAGTCCATTGCCAGAGGAGGAGGATATGCGGATCGAATCTGAGGTTCTGATTAGAGGGTAAATAGATAAAAGCCTGCTCTAAACAGCCTCTGTCCCTCTGCACCTGATGCATGACTACACGCACCTCAGTCAATGTCCGCTGTTAATGAGAGTACTATTGAGTGAGGCTCATAAATCAGCTAGAATCATTGTTCTATTTATGTGGTGTTAGCTATGCCATACAGCATCACACTCACACATATGATATATCCTGTAATGTTCAATAACATGGTGAAATCCATCCATTCCAGCCATTAAATAAATGTGGTTGGAATGGATTTTTTCACTCAATAAACTGATAAAAAAAGATCTAATTTGTATATGTACACATTTTCATTCTTTATGAAACTGTAAATATCCTCAGGTAATTTTGCAGGTTGTCTTAAAGGTATAGTGGAGGATGTTCTTTTTCCGGGTGTATCATCAAAATAAGTGGCCCTCCTAATTGTCAATCATTCTGGTGGTATGTTTACGTAAGACCGTCCTATGTGCTGGTCCCCATTCTCACTTACCGGTGGTGAGACTGACATAGAGACGTAAGCTTGTATGAGCGATGCAGACAGCAACTTGTAAACAGAGCGTGCACCAGGAGAAATGGGCTTGTGAATTCTCTTGCACGCGTTTAATATGTGTTCCCTCTCGGGAGCAGATTCATGGTTGTGCATGTGCACTTTTTTTAAAGTGGAGAGAGCAGTTCTATTCAAAAATTCGCAAAAAATCCCTCACTTTACCTTTTAACTGTGCACGAAAAATCAATGGGAAAAAAAGTATGATTCTTAGTGCTTAACCTAAACAGGAACAAAACCTCTGGCAGACCAGTTGCTTTAGATCTATAGAATTAACATCTTATAAATTCATTTTGACACCCGTATTGGTATCCGTAAGATTTTCTAGAAAGCAAAGTAAGTTGACAGATGGACAGAATTGTGGGTATCCATTATTTAATAAAAGAAAAACCGCAAAGGTAATATACATAATTTAAATCTGAAAAAAGTAATAATGAAAATATTATATGAAAATGAACAAATTAAATTCAAACATTGCTCTTCAACCATGCTTCAATAGAATGATTAAATAAATGTATCTTATTAAACAGCGAAACAAGCCTGGAAAAAAAAAAAAAAAACGGTACCCTTAATTTAATATTTTGTTTAATACTTCTGCTCTCAGCAGGTATTTTGGTCCATGCTTATGAGCAAACTGCTCCACTGGTTTCAGGTTTGAAGGATGCCTTTTCCAGAAGGGATGTTTCATCTCCTTCCAAAGATGATCAATCGCATGTGGGGCAAGGCTCATAGAGGGCCACTTCTAAATAGTCCAATATTTTCCTCTTAGCCATTGTTTAGGGTTTTTATCTTGACCTGCGACTGTGACCAAGCTTTCTGACACTGGGCTAGCCTGGACCGCCAGACTAATATGACGCATACACTGCATATCAGTCTGGTAAAGGCCTGGTAAAGCTTGATTTCAAAGGTGAGACTAACAAGGTCAGCCTCATCAGGTTAGAACCAATCGGATAACTAAGGATATGATGCAAAAACTCCAAGTGACATGCTCTGATCTTGTACTTCCGTAGTCAATGAAACTATCCAGTGAAAGATATTTGCAGTTTTGCCTAAAAATTTAGAGGATATAAAGTGTGCTCTCGGGTACATTCTTAATCTTCATTTCCACATTGCTTTGTTGCGGTCGGCAGCTTGTTATGCTAGCAGAAAGGCATATTTAATGCTGGCATTGAAAGTCATGAACCGTGAAGTCCTGCCTCCTGCTCTGTGATTGGTCTAGCCAGATCTAGTCAGAGTCAACAGCTCTTTACCAGACGGAATTATGCTCTGTGCAATTTAGTCTGGCTGCCATGGCTAACACTGGGTAGCACACTTCTCTCTAGACTTGGATAGTCT